ACCCCAGAAAAGGACATCGTGCGTGGGAAATTAACGTCTCCTACCCCTAACCCTGCAGGAGATGGGGCCTATGGTTTATTCGTCCTCATCCGAGAAGACTAGAATATCTATCCATTTCTTGATATTGTAGAAAAGTAGCAAATTCTCCTTAGTTATTTTAAGACCATGAGTATTGGTCCTGCATCTACAGGCGTCGGCTTATTTAGGTTCCTTCCTTTGCCTTCTAGTTCGAACCACAACAACTCTCACTACGACAAGGTCTTATCGCTAAGGAAAGCTATATATCGAATCGCCTTTATCTGCTCTCCGAGTTTACGATTGTAGTCATCGATCTATTGTTCTACAAGCCACTGCTTTCTACGCTACTTTAATTACATTTCACGCTGTGCGTTACAATTGTCTGGTCTCCAAATCCGTCGCCCACGACCCTCGCTACACATGTAACCTTTATGTCACATGTGTAGCGAGGGTCGTGGGAGACTAATTCCCAATCACCAATAGGTGATTGGGAATTAGTCTCTCTATCAGCCCATAAAATGGAAACAAAACCAGACGAAAAAAATGTCATTGACCCAGGAAGTTTAATCTTGGAAATGGTAAGTAGGCATTTCCAATTGCTGTCCAACATTTATACTAACCACATATATCTTGGAGACGAGGCCGTTTACTTTCATATTTAGACCGCAACGCTACAATGTTTAAACTCAGCATCACCGCGCGAAAGGTTTACAAAAGACCGACACCACCAAATGTTTCGTTCTGATGTAAGATTTGGACATGCACCTAAACACCTCACCACGCATACAACATTCTTGCAGGTATTTTGGATAAAGTCGACTCACTGCGGATCATCTGGATATCATCGTATGGTCCTCTATCATTGAACTTGTTGATTTTCAAGTTTTCTATGAGAAAAAAATCCATGTCTCAAATCTGTTGGGATGTTATCGAACGTTTGCCACGAAAATTATCTACTTTTAGTTCTGACAAGAACGACCAGATCAACGATTATTTGAAAAGGGTCCACTGAAGAAGAAAACACGACAACTAAAATAGTTTATTTTCACCGTTCATTAATTCTCTGACATAACAAATGCATTCCACTGCAGGATCTGAGAGCACCGTGATATCGCTTCTTGTGATTAAATTCACCAGATATTGATTGAAATATGACCGACATCACAACATTGAAAACCCCAAAGTCCCGCCTAAAAAATCGACCTCTGTCTTTAAATATCTGTTCTCGATACTGACATCTGTAGAGTCAAGAAAAGAGAATCTGGTCGCGTGCTTTTCACCATCCTCCGGCCATCCAAGATCCAGCAGTCTTAGCGATACAAACTTGATAAAAAAAACCATTTGTTCAACCTTTTATTTATTTCATTTGGCTTTTATTTGGCGCAAAGGATACACCAAAGAACTTATCCACGTAGAATGCATTTAATGAATTTTGTTTTGGCTTTCTTTGTTCGACTATGTTCAAGACATCAAGCTGATGTGTCTTGCGCTTCCGTGCCAGAAAATCTGGTTCGAGTTAAGGAGGGTAAAGTTGACTAAATGAAACGCTGAGAGGTTCGAGTGGGCGACGTTTCGAGTTGTCGAAAATCAATCACAAATTTTTTAACAGCCATGGCCAAGGCCTCAAGTAAAGGCCAGTTTTTAGGGTGCTAAGTACAAAATATAAAGCAGCCACAGGTAATGTTATGTTATTTAGTATCACCAAGTTTTAAAAGCTCTCGCATTGGCAAGGAAAGTTTACGATTAATATAACTCGTACCTTGATTAGCTGGTTAAGGTCCCCGAAGATCATCACAGGTAGGCTATTTTAGCTTAGTTTGAGTTTTATTTATCTTTCAGTTAAGCGACATAACTCATAGAAAGGGCGCCCTAAAAGGAAGTCCAAAACACGCCAGAGAAGTATTTCAACCAAAGGTTTTAGCAATGGTTTCACATAATGGCAAGACCTTCGTTGGCGCGCCGATTTGCATAAAGAATTGCTGATTTCGAAAAGCCGGGGCTGGGAAAAGCAATCATATTCCACCTGGCTTTAGAAACAGAAGATATGCAAAAGTGGAGTTCGGAAGCAAAGAAGATCAAAGGCAGCAGCAAACCTCCATGTATAAATTGCCGAAGCACTTCAAAAAAATTTACAAGGCTTCCTACTTGATACAGAGCGGGGAGATGGAAAAAATCGTTCATTCCTCGGGGAATGTGCAGAATACTGTCCTGTTGACAAACTTCTTCACAATCAGACAAATGATAGTCCAGAAATAGGTCTTGTCTTGAGATGAATCAGTGAGCAATGTTTAAACCTCTTTGATGATTTTGATGCAATTAATCGTTAAACAGTGCCAAAGAGTTGATAGTTCTGAAGACGTCCAAAAATTAAGAGAGGTGTACAAGCAAATACATCTTATACTTGACATTTTTGGCTGATTACCAGAATGCCGAATACCCGGTTCTAGGAACTGGCTCTAATATAAATGATCAGTTGGTACGCCACCTATACAGTGGACTTGTTCATACTAAGCAATAGCTAAATTTTAATTAGATATGGAAGGTATACACGCTCTGCATGACTTTGTTAATTCTTCAAAGATCATACCTAAAAATGAACGCAATCTGTCACATATTCACTTAAGACCTAATTATTTCAGGATAGTAAAAGGTGAATAGGGACTGGAAAAGCTTTTAAAACAGTCTCATTTTTGTTAGCCAGTGGAATTTCCAGATCAATATCACTTGATTCACTCGCCATTCTTGAAAAGTTTCACAATGTCTTTAAAGCGATGTCTTAAAACCTACAGGGCCTGGCAGTTATTTACACGAGGTCTAACCCAAACCACGGTTTTAAGTTTTGTTTTGTTTTTCAGGCGCCCCCGGCCGCGGACCCGTTAGTGCAATGGTCAGTGCTGCAACGGCCGGACGACATATACTTAACGGAACCGGAGTGCAATGGTTCCGCCGAGTAACGCCTGAAGGAGGGTACACCAGTACGCCAAAATCGCCCAGGAATCGAACCNATTTCGTTACTCCCACCGACGCAGCCCCAAACAGTTTCTTTCGAAACTATCAGCCTTTCAGA